GCAACAAAAAAATAAGAAAGTATTTCACATGTCTGCAGATGCTACAGAGCTACAAATTTAAAGGGCAGAAAAAAGCGTAGCTAAGGCCGGATATATATTAAAGGCATATTAAGAGTAGCTGATCTACTCTGAGGATTGAATATTTACAAAAACGTATTCATATAAATATATCAAATCATATTCATCTCAATAAATAAATTGTGAATGTGTTTTGTTCATTTCTGCCTTTAAGTTAATTAATACAGTTATTCCGCTAAACTTATAATTTAATATATTTATTATTCTCTGTTTCCTTGTCTATTGTTACTCTAGAGGCATATTTCCTGAGGCACGAGCACATTCCTAGACGCGCCTTAAAGTAGGCACACATTTTTTTATTTATTTATTTTTTTTTAATGACAAATTAGTCGCGGGCTTTTTAGCTTTTAGCTTTTTACTCTTGAACATTTCAACATTTGCCAGCTGGCAATTTTTCGATTTATTTTTTTACATATTTTGTTTTTTATTTTTATTTTTTTATTTATTTTTTTTTTATTTTATTTATTTTTTTTTTTTTTTTGGGTTAACCTTGAGATTTTCAAGGGAATAATAAATAAATGTTGCTGACTCGACTCCATTTATCCCCGCCCTGACTCTCAATTTGTATGTACACATAATATTACCCTCTCTTAGGTAGTTTTATTTGCTTTGTTAGTTCCAGGCGATGCCTTGTAAATATATATGTCGAGGGAGTTGCTGCTACCAAGAACATAAATAAACATCTATGTAGATCTCATGTCATACATTTAACTTTTTGGCGCAACGCAAAAACCGCAAAACTTGAAACATTTCAATTTGGCTGCGAAATGGTTTAACTTTGACTCAGGACCGAGAATTGAGTGGACCCAGAGCCGCAAAGGCGTAGAGGCGGGGCATCATTTGCGTGAAGGGTTGATTTGAGAGACCGTAGCTCAGCAGTCGGCTAGCAGCTTTAGCGGAACTGTGACAAGCATTAAAGTCCAACTCTTAAATAAGTAACCATGAAGGACTTGGACGCATCTGTTGAAAATCTGAAGTTGAAGTAAAGTTGCAAATTGTTGGGGAATTAATAGCTGGCTGGCTGGCGAGCCGTCTGAAGTTTTCAACTGCTGCTAAATGCTTATTGACAAATGAGCTAAGCCGTTTGTAATGGCAGCGAATATCGACTTGTATTAAACGTGTGAATTAAGTTAACTATACAAATAATAAAAGTGAGCGAAGTTCAAATAAAGTTTGTAGTTTATAAAAGTTTATTTGGACAAAAGCGACAAATACTTAGAGAACTCAAAAAGAAATTGCAAAATTTAGTAAAGCTACTCTATATACACATAAACAAGGAAGAAGACTCTAGTCGAGACTGCTCGACTAGGATTCTCGATAAAAAATAAATCGGAAGAGTTATCGAAAAAATAAGATACACTCGCACTGCGTGTGGCATACACGAGTATACATGCAAAATTTCAGATCTCTAGCTCTTATATCTTCTGAGATCTAGGCGTTAGAGTATCTAATAGTCCTGCATGCTGACTTGATTTATTGAAGTGTAACCGTTTAGGTATTTAAAACACAGTCTAGCTCTAGACTACTTGGAACTTATCGAGTGCATAATGCTCATAATATCGCTCCCAGGACATATAAATCTCAACTAGAAACCCTCTATGGTAACCAAACCCTTCAATACTTCAGGAGGCCAGCAACAACTTTTGGAGTCTTTAGGTGTAAAACTGTTAGAAATGTTCATTTAATAATTAAGAGCTAAAGCTGAGCGACGATGAAGAATGCAAAGAGTTATAAACCATATACGAATATATATAGGTATGCTTATAAAGACAGATGTATAAAAATATATACATATATCCTTTATTAAAACCTATGCGCTGGAATTAAGAGAATCCATTTAAATTAGAAATTTTTTTAATTGAAGCGCGCGTGCGATGCAGACAGAAAATAAAAAATAAAATTAAGGAAAAACGCCATGAAAATGCCGAGGGAATGAAATGTGCGCTTGGCTGCGGCAGGCTGAGGCTGAGGCTGAGGCGTGGCTAGGAATTGTGGGCGGTGGGCGGTGGGTGGTGCTAAAACTAGCAAATTGAAATCGCAGCTGTAGAAGCGACAGCGTCTAGAAGAACGACAATAATAGTAGAGATCATAAAAATTGCGGAAAAGTCGAAATGGGCCATAGAAATGTTATACCCACACACACACTCGCGCACACACACATAGGCAGAGGCTGACATGCACATAAGCTGCGCGGCTAATTAGATTAAAACCCAACAACAACAACAACAACAGCAACAACTACAACAACAACTACAACATGTATAAAAACATGCGTCAGGCCACTTACTAATCCAACATTTCAATGTCATCCTCATCGTCGCTGTCATCGTAGCCGCCATCGCGTCGCTCCTCGTCGTCGTCATAGAACCTCGCCTCCTGGGCGGCATTCACCGGGCCGAAACGCTCGCGGCTGCGCTCGCGGCTCTGCTGGCCGCCTTCGTTGCTGTTGCTAATGTTGCTGGTGCTGCCACGCCCCTGAGCGGTAGCGGCGGCACGGCGACGCATTGTCGATTGCACGGCCAGGCCGACGCCCTGCTCCAATTCCTCCTCCTCTTCGTCGCTCTCGATCTCGATCTCGTCGAGATCGCGTTGGCTAATGCTGCGCTCCGGCATTGTTACTATCGCTTTAACTTTATATCTCTCGCCCTCTCGCTCGCTCTTTCTTTCTGTTGCTCTCACTCACTCACACACGCACAAGCAAAAAAAAATTGATATTTATATATTTATATATATGGCACGATTTATAACAGAGATTCAATCCAATCCAATTCGAGACAATTCGATTCCAATTCGATTCCAACTCAATTCCAATTCAATTCTTCGCACGACACGACACTTGCCACAGACACTTGCCACACGCTGAAGAGACTTGCACCGAACGCATCCAAAACTGCAATTGGCGCTGCGAGTGCGTCGCCAGTTGGCAGCAAGCGGCCAAAGTGGCCAATTGACTCGATGGGGCTTCGAAAAGGCCGCCAGGTGATTTCATTCCAGCTAATTCAATTAGCCCAGCCACAGAGTGCGGGCAAATGTCTAGCTGTAACTGTAGCTGTGTATGTTGCTAGAGCATTGCTTTTTCTGCTTCTGCTTCTTCTTCTTGCTCTTTTTGTTTTGAATGGGGTCAGCGATTTTTGGGGGCGACATTTTTTGGCGGCCATTACAGCTGGCATGGCTAAGCAGTAGGAAGCCCCAGTTTGTGGCCGAAAACAAAAAAGAAAATGGCTACAAACAAAATGAAACTTGAAATACATTTGCAAAAGAGTATCTAACAGATTCCAAAGTACTATTGATTGCTGTAGCTGAGAGAGTTTTTAATATGAGATATTTGTATCTGAAAAATATGTTTGAATGTGGTATGTTTTTATCTGAAAGATAACTTATTATCAATATCACATTTTGGTATCTGAGAGATAGTTTTTATCAATCTATGTATCAAATGTATCTGAAAGACATTTGTACTTGAAAGATACTAAAATCTAAAAGGTACTTTAATTTGAAAAATACCTGTATCTCAAAGATACTTGTATCTGAAGGATACTTGTATCTGAAAAATATTTGTATCTGAAGGATACTCTTTCATATGTAATGTTTATATCTAAAAGATACTTTTAAAAATCTGACATTTGTATCTGAAAGATAATTCTTAAAATGAGACGACAGTATCTGAAAAATACTTTTTAATGTATGTTTTGGTATCAGATGGCAACTTTTCAAAATTAGATGTCTGCATCTGAAAGATACTTTTTCTAAAGCATGCTGTTTTATCTGAAAGATATTTTTATTTGTGATTTTTATATCTGACAGATACTTTTTTATATTTGATTTTTGTATCTGATAGATACTTTTGGATGTGATGTTTATATCCAAAAGATATTTCTTAAAATTTAATGCTTGCTTGATAGATACATTTTAAAATGGATGTCTGTATATCAAAAATACTTAGTTTTTCTTAAATTTATTTCTTAAACTGAAAGATACGTTGTAATATATGAATTAGTATCAGCATTTTATGTTTGTATCTAAAAGATGGCTTTTATTAACATTATTATTTTAGGCTAAAAAAGAGTTGTTTTTTTTGTATCTGATAGATACTTTTTAAAACTTAAGGTTTGTATCTGAAAGACACTTTTAATAGTTTATAAAAGATTCAGTATTTTAACTAAAGTGTGCCTTATCTGACTGGGGAATTTGATATATGCAATCCCTTGATCGTGTTAGCTTAGCTTAGGATATATGTAAAACATATACATATGTATATAAAGCTTGTGTTTAGTGCGCAAAAAAAGCCAACTTAATATAAACTTGACTCTAAAATGTCTGCCATATAAACCAGTTAGTCTCCCAGTTGTTTAACAATTCAAAATATTGCACAATTATGTTTATAATTGTTAAGCTACCACATATTGTGTTGCATTGATCGACACTCTTATATATATATCACGTCTATTGACATGATTTCCCACGGCATAGAACACAGGTGTTTCACTTATATTCCTGTAGTCGATCGTTTTGACCATGAGGATGGTCAAATGTAGCTCCATGCTTTCCCGAAGGAATATATTTATGTTTGGACAAATGCTCACTGCAGATAGATAAATGTATCTATGACCACAAATGGTATCAAATATCATTATCATATCAAATAAATTTCTTCTTCAAATAATAGCATTGCTTATTCATTATTATATCGAACAAAGCGCAATTGCACATTCATTCACAATTATTTCAGTTATAAGCACAATCCAAAATGGAATTCTATAGAAAAGTAAATAAAGGAAACGAGCTATTTTCTATTTTCTTATGAACAATTACTCAACGTATATAAATATACATATATAACTTGCTGAACTCAAAGTCAATCAAATATATAAGAATAAATGAGTTCTTGGCTGAGCAAATTTTTTATTAATTTCATTAACCTGAACAGAATTTAAGAGAATTTACAAACTTTTTTTATCTTATCATTAACTGTTTATATAAATTCAATATATATCTATAGAGCTATAGAGCAATAAGCAAAGTGATCATGACAGACAGAGCAATGACCAGCTTTGCATAGATCACTGCAGCTTACTCATCATCATCAAAGGCCTCATATTAACTGGTTGAACCAGCTCAACAGATCTTGCTGTGCTTCAGTGTGCATTCGCATATCAAGGAGTATTGATCTGACTGCATATAAGATCACCAACATTAAAAAAAACATACGATCAGCTCAGTATAGGTCGTAGATCTGTGTAGCTCACTCTACTGAGTGAAACATGAATCGATGCTCTTGCTCTTCCAGTATAATACCCCTATATAATGTGTAGTGAGCAGAGGCGTAGTCCAAGCTCAGGTTAAACAAGCTTCAGCATCATGGGTATTTGCATGTGTAAGAGTATTGATCTAGTTCTCTATGAGAAGTAGTGCTTATAATTAGCTATATAAATCAAGATCAATTACAACTCATATCAAACTTCTGGTAGAGTCAACAAATCCAGATTGATAGCAAGATACTGCTTAAGCATAGACAGAAATTGAATAATAAACACTTTAATATTCAGGTGAGTCAGAGTGAATCAGAGTATCATCTACTCGGGGAAAACCCACTTACCCAAATGAATGTTGTATCCTAATACATTTACTTGAATACGCAACAATGCTTATAGCTTGATCATAGTCATAACAAGCCTATGTTTACAGGGTATCTGTTTAGGGTCTGACCAGTCTATTGCTTACAGCGCATCTACTAGCCTAACGTTAGCCAGTAGTTTCATTGATTTCTGTATGAGCTAATTGCAGGCAGAAGCAAAAGCTGAAACTTATTAAAATTTATACGTATATTGGCTCGGTCGGCTGTTTGGCGATTCGCCTGTTTGGCCATTTGACGATTTGGCGGTGGCTCTGGCTTCCGGTTGTCGGCGAGCCAGAAGAACCATAAAATTGAAAATGAGCTGAGCCAAGACACAAAGGAAAAAAAAAACAACAAAAAAAAACAAAAAACGCGCGCATTTAATGAGCCATTTCAATGCCAAGGCGCAGTGTGCAGCCAGCTGAAAATGCTATTATACCCTGTACGTGGCTCTCGTGCATGGCGAGTGATATGTACAAATATGCTTGAACGTATTTAAATGTACAAAAATTGTTTGATTTTAAGAATTTGGATCTTAGATATATAGCAAACATGTGTAAACTTATAGAAGATAATGGAAATTTATTTGGATAGTAAAATTTAAGTAAAAGAATTTGTTTCAGCTAATCAGATTTGATAGAGTTTTAATTATTCTATTATTTAGACGGTCGAATTCTCCAGTTGAATATTCCAGGGCAAGAGACAACTAAAGGGGCCTAGATGCCACAGCTCATATTTAATGAGACATAGTTGAGATCCAACTATGATTTTCATATAAACTACTTACTTTCATTAAATACCTATTTAAGCATTTAGAGAATAGAACTTAACACTCTTCATCGCTAGCTCAGGAATTCTTACTGCAGACTCTCTCTCAAATCTCTCAAATTTCGCAAGTGTAGCTCCCTTATCCATTTGCCACGCCCACCAGAGGCACATACATAAACTTAAAAAAAACCGTGGAAGTCCTAGTTTTATCAAATATATATATAAAATATT